ATGCCTTTTATTTCAAATTTAAACTATTAATGTTTTAATTAAATAAATTATAAGATCACATGTATAATCAAACAGGTCGTTACACCTGTTAACTGTAAATGCCTTATTTAGACCTAAGGGTCCATTTACAGGAAATTTTGAATATTGTGACACTTGTCTCTCTCTAATTTACTAATGAATTAAAACATAATTAATTATCTTAAAAAATATACATCATTATAAATATACACTGTACAACTGTGTACAACAAACGCCCCATACCAAACTGCATAGGTCACCCAAACCTTTATTAGTAATCATTATGTATTACAAGGAACTCTGCCTCTTTGCATAAGAAGACCAATCTATCTCCTCCTGCAATATCACGTTGCTGTTGAACACCGTGAATTCATTAGCAGGATTCCCCGCTAGCATGAGGATATTACTCCTACTAGACTTAATAATTTTGATGATAAGTAGCAGGTGAATGTTATCACTGTTTAGAATCAACCAAAATGTACCAGAAGTATCTTTTACTTCTTCACGTATATACTTTTATAAAAGACATTGATATAATGACTCAGAAGTGAGGTTAATCAAATGGCAAAATATTTTTACTATACCCTCTTAAAAGAAATAAGTAAATGGAAAGAAAGTAATTAAAAATGCGACATACGAAAAGGCACCCCCCCCCCCACCATAATGTCTTTAGGAGCTGTCACGGTGCACTTACATCTTTGCTGAAAATATGAAAACTGGAAATATTCTACCATAAAATTATAAACTTTCAGAGCATGTTGTTCAAAGGCAGTGTTCAGTAGCCTCAGCCTATAACTAGATCGCTTCACGCTAGGTCAGAGGGTCTTTCTGGGGTACTAGTATGGACCCCCGGAAATACATATATGCGTCTGTAAACCATGGGGTAAAATAGAACCTTAGTAACGTGAATGTACTGATCGAGCACTGCTGTTAATTACATCAACAGACTGTGAGTCAACATTTTCAGTGCTCTCGAGGAATAAATAGAAAAAAAAAATCCAATCTTATGATACCATATACCATATGATAATGATGATGATGGCGATGATGATGAATTGATGATGGTGATGATGATGATGATCATCATCATCATCATCATTATCACAGTGATAATAATATTGATAATAATAATAATAAGAAGAATGAGAGTAATAATAATAATGACAACAAAAGTAACAACAACAGCAATAATAATAATAATAATAATAATAATAATAGCATTGTTAATGATAATGATGACGGCGATGATGATAACAATAATAGTAAAAATGATAATTATGATAATAATGATAATGATAATAATATGTAGTAGTAGTAGAAATGAAGATTTCTTTTATCTTTATTTTTTGTCCATATTAATCGTTACTGCCATTTTGTGTGGAGCGCATGTCCTTGATTCATCACTGTTTGGAAACCAACTAGAATGCCCAAGGTCACAAAATACCAAAGAAGGTAGGGAACCCTAATGGGTTCCCTCTCTTATTGGAATGTCTTCCTGTTTCAAAGCCAAGCATTACCACTATCCCCTTGAGGAACCACTCCATACGAGCCCACAATATACGAAACATGCTATTATTATAGTGTTCTAAAAAAATTAAGATCAAGTATGAGCTAGGAAAAGATGAGAAATAGACGCCATGAGAGAAATCGGTGACCCACGTAATGCACACTGAGCTACTAGTCAAAGTCAGAGCACGCGCAGTGTACCATACTAAGCAGTATTCTATAAAGAGGATGCAAATCAAACTACTGTAGAATGCAAGTCACCCAGGATTCAAAGCCTTATTGGTTACTTTCTATGTTATGCAAATACTGCATTGCATGACTGTAATTAATAATTTTCTAGGTGGTTTTAGCGCGGTTCTTGCCCTATTTCTTAAACGTCCGTATAGAATGTCGCAGTCTGTCTGTCAGTTCTAAGTTATATATGCTTAGTTCTCATTCTATATTAATAAGGACCCGTATACAAGAATAGGATATGGCATAGCAACGTTCTGGGCTCAAAGTCCGGGCGGAAATGAACTGGCCACTCTACCGCATTATCCCGCGCTGTGGTACGCAATGTCTGTTTAAGGTCTATATACTTAAAAATACCTTGGAGATAGGCATGTTTTTCTACGTGAAGTTTAGAAAGGTTATTTTTCTAGACGCATATGTTTCCTACAGCCAGTTGGGTATGCTACCAACTTTAAATCTGATACACAAACCGAACTTATAACCGACAAACATTTTCCAATAATCGGTGTCCGATATAGATATATGTTAAATGTTGTTATTATATGAATACACTCACACACACAATATGGGTATGTATATATATATATATATATATATATATATATATATATATATATATATATACACACACACACACACACACACACACACATACACACACGCACGAGCGCATACACATACACACACACACACACACACACACACACACACACACACACACACACACACACACACACATATATAT